CTAGTGATCATATGCATAAATTACTTATTCATGATCTTTTTCACTCTCCTACTTAGTATTTTGATATTGCATAAATTTTATAAGTTGGTAATCTCTCTTCATCAATCTCTTCAAATGAGTAGTAAAGCACCATATCTTTTTATTTGGAAAACTCAAAGAATGAAAAATTATGTGGCCTCGCCTAGTCGAAAAAATTTCACTAAATTTACATGAATTACAAAGGTTGACCCATCCCTTGACTTGGAGGCAGTGGAATTACAATTAATAGTTTGAAGAGTTGGGCGAAGGTCTGGTGACGGTCGGGGGAAGTCTGACGGCATTCTATTGGAAGTTCGTCGGACGAGTAATGATTCAATAATGATTGGGTGAGAGTCTGGCGGCGATCAGAGGCAAGGCGGTAATCTGATGATGTTCTGGTGGAAGACTGATGGTGGTTGACAATCAAGTGGAAGTAAGGTAGGGTTCGATGGTCGGGCAGTAGTCCGAGGGCGGTTGGCATCCGGATGGAAGTTTGGATGCAATTGGCGGTCAAGTAAAAATCCGGCAACGATCAGCAGCCAGGTGCTAAATCGGCGGCGGTCGGCGGCCAACCAGTGATCTGACGATAGTTGGGAGGAAGTTTGACAACGGATGGTGGTTGGTGGTTGGTGGACGTTCGATTACGGTCAACGGTCAGGCGGTAGTTCGGTGGCATTCGACACTCGCGCGGGCTGTGACCCGACGATGGTAGGGAGGAAATCTAGTGGCGTTCGGCGATCAAGTGGAAGTCTAGCGATAGTTGGCGGCTGAGAGAAGGCCTTACGATGGTTGGGTTGAATTCTGACGATCAACAATGGTCCTTCTTTTCTGTTCGAGATTGATAAAGATGGAGATTTTGAAGTTGAGGCTGATCCAAAAAATTTTATATGCAATTGAGAAATTACACGATTGGCTGGTGGACCTCAACCTAACTTTGCTTTATCATATCACTATAGTTTGAATTAAAGATAGCTCTTCTAAACTTTTGGGTGATTAATTATACATTTTAGGTAAGGTTAATAGGAGATGTTGCATAGAAGAATATATTTTAGAGTGATATAAATTTAATATATATATCGATGGGCTGCTTAAATTTATTTATTTAATATTTGTGAGTCATTCACATTAATATTGATTTAACAACTTTAGGTAGGGGAAATTATTGCACACAAAAGCCAGTATTTTAGAGAATTTTGACATTATTTTAAATTATTTGATTTATTTTTTACTTCAGTAACTATGTTAAAATGCTTGTTTATCTTATTGCTAGTGATCATATGCATAAATTACTTATTCATGATCTTTTTCACTCTCCTACTTAGTATTTTGATATTGGATAAATTTTATAAGTTGGTAATCTCTCTTCATCAATCTCTTCAAATGAGTAGTAAAGCACCATATCTTTTTACTTGGAAAACTCAAAGAATGAAAAATTATGGGGCCTCGTCCAGTCGAAAAAATTCAACTAAATTTAAATGAATTACAAAGGTTGACCCATCCCTTGACTTAGAGGCCATGGAATTGCAATAGTTTGAAGAGTTGGGCGAAGGTTTGGTGACGGTCGGGCGAAAGTCTGATGGCATTTTGATGGAAGTTCGTCGGACGAGCAATGATCCAATGATGATTGGGCGAGAGTCTAGCGGTGATCAACGGCAAGGCGGTGGTCTGACGATGTTCGAGCGGAAGACTTATGGTGGTTGACAATCAAGTGGAAGTAAGGTAGAGGTTGATGGTCGGGTAGTAGTCCGGGGGCGGTTGGCATCCGGATGGAAGTTTAGATGCAATTGGCGGTCAGGTAAAAATCGGCGACGGTCAGCGACCAGGTGCTAAACCGGCGGCTGTCGGTGGCCGACTAGTGATCCGACGATGGTTGGGAGGAAGTTCGACAATGGCTGATAGTCGGTGGTTGGGTGGAAGTTAATTTGACGACGGTTAGCGGCCAGACGGTAGTTCGGCGGCATTCGACACTCGGGCCGTGATCGGACGATGATAGGGTAGAAGTCTAATGGCGTTCGGCAGTCAAGTGGAAGTCTAGCGATGGTTGGCGACCGAGAGATGGTCAGACGATGGTTGGGTGAAATTATGACGGCCAACAATGGTCCACCAATGGTGGTGTTGAAGCATTTGAAGCCTAGAGCTCTCTTCAATCTCCAGGCAACAGCCCCCCTCATGTAGAGAGTGAGAGTCTATTTATAAATTTTCATGAGTGACACACCCCATAATTATGTAGAATATTCTGACCAGGTTTGAATTGCTCCATAATCATCTCCATCGAATGGCCCGTATTGATTCTCCGATCATAGAGTGTTTTTCAAGTGTTTAAGTTCCTTAACAATGTCGAAATTCAACAATCTTGGACTCGTTCGATTCATCTCACCGAGCCGCTCTATTCGACTATAAGCATGTCATATTTGGATATCATTTTGTCATCTAATTGATGCTTTGAACCTTTCAAATATTCTTCACACTCTTGATTCAGACTCATTCGGGCTCGGATCAAGCCGATTTTGGTATCGTTGGATTTGTCTCTTTGAGATTTTCATTTTGATTAGAAGTTTGCTAAAATCGAAGTTCAGATGATCCCAAATTTAATTTCAAAAGTTTTCAACTTATATGTACCTCGAGATTCGTGATGGATCAAGTAAATTTTTGGTGATGTATAAGAGTTTTTATTTGATTAAATTTCACGCTCTGTTTCCAATATCTGTTAGTATTGTTCATGTCATGAATCTTATTTATTACTCACATTGAAATCATCATGTAGTAAATACTCATTGTTACTCATAATGAAGTAACGAGTTTCATAAAGACAATATTCATGATTTATTGTTGTATAACCTCATGTGCATAAAATTTTGTATCTTCATACATGCCCTTATTGAATACAATAATTATCTTCTTGGTAAATCACATCAATTATATTTATTAATTGCAATACATGATGCTCATTTTATAAATCATATTGACTATATAAATGGTAATTGTCATGTTGAATTACATAACACATGTTGATTATTTACAATAGCACTTGCACCGTATGATTTTGTGTATGCGGCATAACCCTATTAATTTTTAGCTAGCTAGGGTCGACAGGCCCCAAGAGTGACGAATATACAAGAAATCACTGGATTTTCTTGGGTAGGTGTTTACCTTCTAGTATAGGTATATGATGAACTGACAATAAAAATATATGTTAAATATAAGAAAATATAAATTGATATGAATTGAAAGAAATTAATGACTGATAGGTCATTTTGAGATATGATGATACCTAATGCGATTACATTTTAAACATTAAAATATTTGAATTGATAGTAACTTGCCACATACATTAATGTCACTTGCATATTTTATTTATATTATAGAAAGTGTGACTTTAGATTGTTACTTCTCCTTTGATTGTCCATATTACATGACTCATTTCTTTGTCATCTATGCTTTGATATATAATAATTACTTGTTGAGTTTGATTTATTAAACTCACCCGTTATCTTTTCAACAAGTCCTGCATATTTGTTTGGTGTACCACAACCTCAGGAGCAAGGTTATCAGCAATAGACTATTTTTTATATTTATATTTTGTCGTACTTACTATATTTATATTTTATATAGGTTGGATAGTTTTCTTTCTTGCATGCTTGTTTCATTTTGATTAATGTGCATATAAGAAATAAAATATAACTTTTAGATATAAGAGACATATCTTATTCACATCCAAACTTCTTGCGGAAGATAAAAATTAAGGTTTCGTTTGAAACAACTTTTGTCCGCCATTTTTTCGTTGCTTTCAAGAAAAATTTTCACTAAAAAACTGTTGTATAAAGCAACAAGAAAGCTATCATTTGGAACAGCTTTCTTACCACCTTATTTTTTAGTTCTCTATCATAATTTTTATTTGACCAATATTCAAACAATATTTATAGTAAAAATATGTCTTCTACGGCAACTTTAAAATATAATTTTCTCTATATCAACTTTACCTAAACGAAGCCTAAAAGCTATGAATTTAGTATGATAAATCTGGACAAATATCGGCTGATCTTAAAATTCAGTAGCTATCATGACTCATAAAGGCAATCCTCTTTTTAAATTTATTATACTCAGAATCATAAATGTATTAGCATCATCATAATAATATGAGGTTAACCTAATTACTTTATTAATTAGGTAAAAAAAGAGATTAGAAGTTAACCAGCATAGACTAGATGTACACGTAGCAATTCGGCCACCAGCAAAAAAATATTTAATAAAAAATGTCACAATCACTCTAAACTTGATCGAAATCGATTAATAATCCATTAAGCCGTGAATGAATATATAATCTGAAAAAACTATTAAGTAAAAAATAAATTGTATTTATAATATAAATACATACTTAAATAATAAAAATTGAAGTAATTTATAATTAAATTTATGCCAATTCAACTAAACTAAGGATTTTTGGGACAGCTCTCTTACTGATTCTTAAAATAGTTTTTTAGCTAAAAATTATTAATTTTTGAATAGATGATTTGGTCACGTAAAACTGCGGCCTTCTGATGATCCGGTTAGGAAAGTAGATGTATTAGATTTGGCTTATGTTAAGAAAGGTAGAGGTAGACCTAAAAAGACTTGGTTAGAAAATATTACAAATAACCTTTCTTTATTAGATTTAGATGAGAATTTGATTCTTAATAGAGAACAATCGAGAAAAAGGAAATTTCACGAATGCCAAATTTTCAAACCAAAGGAAATATAAAGGAATGGCCTATATGAAATAATAAATTAATATCAAATATTATTATTTTTAAATAAAAAATAGAAAAATTTAGTTCAAAATATTAGGTAATGTTATTAAATTTGTATTAAGATTGGTAAAATATAAATTTAATTGATACTTTAAACAAATTTAAAGATTTAAATTATTTTTAAAATTTTTGATCATATATATAATTTAATCGTCAAATTTGGCCAAGAAATTTTTGTAGGAGTCCAACGAAGCCGCGTTAATTAATTACTCTGTACTTGGCCAAAGCCAGAAGAGCGACGAAGAGTTAAGTGGGCGAAATTTTTTAAGTTGCAGAGTGGGAGGGGGGAAAGAAAGAGAGAGATACGGAGAGACAAAGTTCATAAAAGTGAGAGAAAAAGAGTTTTTTTATATTATTTGTTAGCTTTCTTCACCAATCGGATAGCAGACGAGCCTCTGGAGGTATGCCTCTCTGCAATTTCTCATGTTCCCAATCCTTTTCCCCATTTTTATGCTGAAATTTGGGTTTTTTCTTGTTTTCTCTATTTGTTTGGTTTGCATGGATGTCATGTTTCCATTTAATCAAGTTTTTTTCTTTATTTATTTTGATACGAATGGTATTTTTTCCAACAAAAAATCATATCTTTTCTGTTCTTAATCTGCCATTGAAGCATTTTTTTCTCAATCAACCTCCATGGAAGATGATAACTCATATTCATAAAAATCGCCTTTTTTTTCCTTCTAACACAGAAGCTTCCCATCGCACTGCTCTTTTTTATTTTGGCATAAAGTTGTTGAATTAATTTTTATTTTCCTATGTTGAATTGATTTAATGACGGGGATTTGTACATTTGATGGGATCATTCAGCTTTTCTTTTTCCACATTTGATCTTTCTGCGTCATTTCATTTTGATTTGTGGATATTGTCTTCCCCTCTTTCAAATGAAAACTCACCTCGTTTTCCACGCATCACTAGGCATTTATTGATGGGAACTTACGAAAATTCCCCAGAAATAAAAAAACTTAAAAAATGCCATTGTTTTATAAGGAAAAAATGTCCAAGTTTTGATTTTTTCTCAAACCCTGAAAATGTCAACTTCTAGGCGGCTCAAAGCAAAACTACAGTCATATCCTTTTAAGTTGGAAGCAACCGTGATTTATTGAACTGTTGGAAGATGCTTAAGCTCGCCTAATTGTAAATTTTTAAAGTTTCTTTTCTTTTTTAATCTTTTGATCACGTTTTTGCAGATTCCATGCGGTTTTTTTAGGTGATTTGGAAATAATTTAATTTCTAAATTTATCTGATTCTCCCTGGTTGCCGATTTTGTTCTCTCTAGGAACCAGTGAACAAAGATCAACAGCTCAAAAAATAGAAATTTGTTTCCAGTTTGGCATGAATTTGCTTGATAGTAAGGTTTTCCTGCTAAGATTTATTTTTTCTGACACTGTTAGGAAGAGGTGCATGTTTTAGATATCTAGGATCTATTGTTCAAAGTTATGGTGAAATAGATGGGGATATTGTTAGTAGAATTCAAGTTGGATGGTTGAACTGGAGGAATGCAGCGAGCCTATTATGTGATAGAAAATACCCCTCAAACTTTAGGGAAAATTCTATAAGATGGTGGTGAGATATGCAATGCTTTATGATGTAGAATGTTGGCCATTAAAAGAGAAGCATAAAATTAAGTTAAGTGTTGTAGAGATAGGGATGCGTAGGTAGATGAGTGGTTTCATTCTTAGAGATAGAATGTGAAACGAGTATATGGCTGAAAAAGTTGGAGTAGCTCTAGTGGCAAATAAGATTAGAGGGAATCACATTCAAAATAATATTAGATTTGACGAATGTTAAAAAATGTAGAGGTAGACCTAAAAAGATTTGATTAGAAAATATTTGAAATGATTTTTTTATTAGATTTAAATGATAATTTAACTCTTAACAGGAAAAAAAATGGAAAAAAAAAGATTCATGTAGCCAACCCCACGTAGTAGGATAAAGGCTTGATGTTATTATTGTTGTTGTTAGGAAGAGTTACAATGCTTGTTAGCTTGCCATGTGAATTTGTTTTCTGATGTTGCTATAGATTCTATTATGGCTGTTCTTTCCAATTTGGATCTCAGATTATTTGATCCAGGAGAGCCACTTTCTGAATTCTACTAGCTGTATCTTTTTTTCTTGAATGTGTGGATTCCAATGCATAAAAGCAGCTTCTTGAAATGAGATCTCACAGTAAACATGTGAGACAGTTTGAGTGCCTTGTGGTAATTTGCAGATAGATGAACTGTTAGATTACAAGAATGAAAACCTTATTCCTATTCTAACAAACATGTTCTTCAATCTTTGATTTGACAGTTCAGGCTGTCTAGGATTTATGACCCGCAAGCCAGCTTCTAAGAAGTGCTTGGCATATCACACTTGATTTTCTTACCTGGATTCGCAATTGTTTGTCACTATGGGTGGCTGTGTATCAACACATCGAGCGCACAAATACCGAAGGCATTCTATCACATCCAAAAAACGGCGTGGAAAGGTTTCTGCCACAGTGCTGGATGCACCAAAAACCAGGATTAGCAATGCCGGAAACCGTTATACACTCGGCGAGTTTGTTCATGTAGAAACCTCAGCATCAACTCGAAGAAAATCCGAGGTGTCCAACTTAACTGTTCATCTCACCCAATTGCAATGGCACCACAGCAAGATAGATTCAGATGGTACTTCCTTTCATGTTTTATCATTTTTATGCTGTTTGAAACTGTACAGGTTAGTAATTCTGGTTTTGGGGAATTGAAATGCATTGCATGCTTTAAAATTAGTGACAGAAATTTTCTGATGTTTCTGCTAGAATAGTTAAAACTGTTTGGAACAATAGAGCATAGATATAGAGCTTAGGCAGCTTGTGATACACTTATGGAGCTTTTTTGCTGTAAGATTAAACCAGGATTTAGGCTAAATATTGCCAAACAGTATTTTGAGTCACATAAGTGCCACTTCCTTCTTAAATCTCATTGTCCTGCCATTTTGGCTAATTTCTGAATTTAGAAAATCCTTGGAGAAGTAGAATTAAAGAGATTTATTTCTCATCATTGTGCTTTTCCTTCTTTATTTAAATCTTAAATCTTGAAAATCTCTACCTAACAGTTTCTTAAGATTTAACAAGATTTAATATTAATTATGCCAAACTATTTCAAGATTTAACATCTTCAAAGTATACTAAGTTCCGATTTCCATGATTTACTAAGTCCTATTTGAATTAACTTGCCGCCAAATAGACCATATTTGTTTCTAACTGCAGAAATAAATGAGCTGCATATAAGTTTATTATAATCATTTGAATAGACTATATTACTCGTGTAATTTGCTTGACTATGCTACTCCTATTCCATCGGTCATTAAGTTTTATTTACTCGTCTTCTATAAAATTTCAAGCTTGTCAATGTAATGTGTGAACAATCCTGATATATTTGCAGTGATATGCCAAGATGACGCATGGTTTGATTCTGTAAGCATCCTAGAATCAGAATCTGACGATGATTTCAGTAGCATCCATGGAGGTATATACTATATGTTTGAAGGCTCGTTTGGGACAGCTTTTTTATTGCTTCAAAAATAGCTTTCTCGTTAAAAAATTAAAATTTTCATATTAAAAAGCTACTTCAAGAAGCAAGAAGAAAACCATCCCAAACGAAGCCGAACTTATTTCAATAACTGTTAGAATTTTTTCATCTGATTGTGTGAGACTATATTTAGTTGAATATCTTTTTTCTAATTAATTCTAGCTTGCAGACAATTTATCCCCTGCAAACGATGCAATCACAAGGCAGATGATCCATTATGAAAATGCTGCGCGTTCTGTAAATGCGGTTTGTAAATTTGAGGACGATTGTAGTCCTGTTACTTTAGCAGTAGAGCATTACTTTAAAGGAGATGGTTCTAAGACAGAAGAACATTCTTATTTAGATGAATGTAGAGATGGCAGGGACAAAACTACGAGCCAGCAAAGAAACGAGATTTCTGACAGCCAACTCAATAAAATATATCCCAGAAGGAAAGTAGTTTTAGATGGGAATTTTGGTAATTTAATGGGTTTACTGGATGATAGACATATTGATGAGGGGAGGAAATCCACAGAGAACACATTGAAGCAGTTGACATCTTCTTGCCTACCTCGATTAGTTCCTTCTGTCAATTTTAATGATAAGTATCAAGAGATTCCAGCTGTAAGCTCCCCAGCCCCGAAGAGAAAATCAGCAGTTATAAGGCTTTCAATCAAGAGAAAATCTTATGATGGAGAAGAAACCACTGAGTTTTGTAAGTACTCTTCCTCACAATTCTGAAAAATCCTTTGAAGTGAAAGAAAGCCACATGCATTTTAAATTTGGTTGATTTGTTTGCAATTCCCATGCAACAATTTGTGCAGTGAATGAAATCTAAGATAATGTAAGAACATCAATTTTACCTGAAATGGTATGATGCACCGATATTTTTACTCATAGAGGTATGCAGTGTCCATTATGTATCTGATATGACACACGTCCAACACATCTCCAACATGCCTCCAACAAGTGTAGGACATGTCAAAGACCTATATGTTTAAAAATATTAAAAATAAATTAGACACAAGTGTTTTATATATTTTATGAATTTTTTTAAAAATATAATTTCTTGTGTTTCAAATTTATTTATTAATTTTTTTTCTTATTTCCTCTCCGTAGTCTCTAATCAATCCCCCACACACATACCTCATTCCTCGAACATTCTCATTTGAATTCCTCTCTAGTGGGTCACATCAAGGGTTTCACAATTACATCTAATGACATCTCAATATCGACGTCCAACGTTGTTACAATATCAATATTTAAAAATCATCTCAACATCAAAGTCTAACAATGTCTTGACATTGATGCTCGACGCCAGCAATTTCTACACTCACACATTTCCTCGGTATCTCATCTTTGTCCAATGTTGTTTCAACAACGACAGCATGCGGCATCTTGACATTGACGCCTAATGCTCATTGCTCAACATTGATGTCCAACTCTTGACAACATTATCGTCTATCTTCTCAATGTCTGACAGACGACATCAACATCTGACTATTGACATCATAGTATTAATCATTTTAAGCGTAAATTAAAGTTAAATGACTTATTGTTTCGTAATTATTTTTAATATTATACTTATTAAATTTCTATATATCATTTTTAAGAAATTAAAGTTATGATATCATGTCCAACTCGTATTTTTCTTATTTTAATAATTGTTGTGTCCCGTATCCATGTCGTGTCATATTCGTGTCGTCGTGTCTATACATGAGCATCATGGCTAAAGTGTAACACATGCGACTTATTTTGAAAGAAATAATTGTCCTCTATAATAACTTTTAAGCAAAATATTACAATAATCTAGTAGTTACAACTGATTTTCATCATTTATCATCTGTTGTATTTAGTGAGCTCCCCGTTTAGCTATTCATCAAACTTTTCCAAAGAATAATGTAGGTGATTTCTTTTCATATAGAATGTTTTTTGAAGGCTTAGATTGCCCTTTTGCTGGCTGAAGTTTAAGTAAATTTTATCCATTCTTGATTTCCTTATGAAAATTTATAGAATTCAAAATGATTCATTTCCTTCCATCCTTATGAAACAGGTGCTTCAAAAAGATTCTTGTATCATCCTATAGCAGGACTTTTAATCCCTTGTTCATCAGGGGAGAAGCTAACACAAGGTTGTTGGTCTATCCTGGATCCTTCAAACTTCAAGCTTCGTAGTGAGAGCTATTTCAGGCATGAACTACCAAAACTACCGTAATTCCTTTCTTTTTTGGCTAAAAATCTTATTAATCATAGAAATCACTTTAAATAACGTTAATTTTAACGTTAACTATATCATGCAGGGACAAGAAAAAATGCTGTGCACCAAACCATGCGCCTTACACCCCATTTGGTGTAGATTTATTTATGTGCCCATGTAAAATTCATCACATTGCTCAACATGTCAAGCTTCCTTCTCTCAAATCCAACGGCAAAGTTCCTTCTCTTCTTATTGTAAATATTCAGGTTAATTTTCCTCTATAGTCTCTATCAATTTCCTTTATTTCACCATAGAAAATTTCTCAACTTGCAAAAAAGATGACCAAATCACCTCTCATTTCTTCTTCACAGCTCCCTACTTATCCTGCTGCCATGTTTCTTGGCGATAGTGATGGAGAAGGGATGAGCTTAGTACTATATTTTAGAATTGCTGACAATTATGAGAAGGAGATCACTCCAACTTTCCAGGATATGATTAGTGTAAGCAAAGCCATCTTCTATGCAACTGTGATGCTTCTTTCACTACTGTGATGTTTGATTTTCTTGCGAGTTTATGCTATATACTCTTTTACAGAGATTTATAGATGATGAGGTAGAAAAGGTTAAGGGATTTCCCAAAGATTCTACTGTTCCTTATAGGGAAAGACTAAAGATAATGGCTGGTGTTGTCAATCCAGAGGATCTCCTTTTGAGTGCGACAGAAAAGAAGCTTGTATGTGCTTATAATGAAAAGCCAGTGCTCTCTCGACCTCAGCACAATTTTTTCAGGGTAAGAAATAAATCATTCTTCTTTATATTGTTAACTAAACTTTAACTACCATGTGATCTTATTGTTAAGAAAAAAAAAAGAATATAAGAGAAATCACAAGAAAATTGCAAAAGATAGATATTTTATATAGTTTGATGATTAAGGCTTCATTTGGGACGGCTTTTTTACTGCTTCTTAAAATAACTTTTTAGTATTAAAATTAATTTTTTTCTACTATAAAGCTGTTTTAAGAAGTAGAGAGAAAGCCGTAGGCTTTGTTTGGGACGGTTTTCTTTCTTCTTAGAAAGCTGCTTTAAGAAGCAGAAAGAAAGCCGTCCCAAACGAAATCTAATTCTCTTTCATTTGGAGATTACTCAGATTACAATTTGAGGAGATGTTGCCTTCTAAATAGAAGTTTAGAGTAGTCACCTTAAAGATTAAAAAATAGCATATTTATCTCCAGCATTGCCTTATATAAAAGGTGTTCCTTCATCAATGATATTGTTGTGCAGGGTCCTAACTACTTCGAGATTGATCTGGATATTCATCGCTTTAGCTACATATCAAGAAAGGGTCTCGAAGCATTTCGAGAGCGCTTGAAGCATGGTATACTCGATTTAGGTTTAACAATTCAGGTCTGTGCTTGAACACCTTGTCATTTGACATAATACTTGCAATAACAGAAAGAAATTAAAAGAAGCAAATTTCTAGCCTTACAGCATGCATGGAGATCCATTCATCTGCCTGTGTATAGAATGTTTGCTTCATAAGCTAGAAGTTAAATTTCATTACGACTAAGGCTTCGTTTGGAACGATTTTCTTCTTGCTTTCTAAAATAATTTTCTAGCTAAAATTTTTTTATTAGAAAATCATTTTAAAAAACAGTACGAAAGCTGTCCCAAACGAAGCCTAAGAGTTCAAATCCATATGAACTGTTTCAGTATCTTTTATTCTATATTGTTTTGTTAATCATACCAGTTTATAAAGAGTTAAACAGACTTTGAGCTAGGATTATGTGATAAAAGTGCTAATAGATCTATCAGACTATGAATTTGAGCTAACAGCAGGAAAATTTGCTGCAGGCTCAGAAGCAAGAGGAGCTACCAGAGCATGTGCTTTGTGCTGTTAGGCTTAACAAGATAGATTTCATTAATCACGGGCAGATACCTACAATTATGACTCTTGATGAGAAGTGATCTATTGGCTGTATTCATATTCTTATAATGAAAAGAGACTAATCCTTGGAATAGGAGACAGAGATATATAGAGCTGGGAGGCTGAAGCTTTTTGAAGAAGCATCTTCTACATGCTTCTGTTGATAAATGAATTAAGAGAGAGATAATATAACAAAATATATCAGATTAAGGCTTCGTTTGGGACGGCTTTCTTACTGCTTCTTAAAGTAATTTTTTAGTACAAAAATCTAAAAAACTATTTTATGAAGCAGTAAGAAAGTCGCCTCAAACTAAGCCTAAGTCTGTCTGCCACTCACTTTGTAGTTGTTCCATGAATGATTGATACAAAGAAAGGTCGCTGGATATTGAATAAACTAAGGGATAGAATGGCAAATGAGCTGAGGCAAATCAATTTTTGATATGTTTAAGCACAATTAATTGTTTCTTAATTTAGTTGGGGCTGAATTTGAAAATGATATGTGATTTATAGCTTAATATAAGCATTTTTTATTTATTTTATTAATGGAAGTCAAAAAAGAGCTTTAATTTAGCTTATAGCCTAGCATTGTAATCCTAGGGGACAATAGATGAACAACACATAGTTTCATTATCCACAGAAAATCAATTTGCATTTCATCATTGAATGTGAAAGATGCGTTAAAAACCATTCAATTCATTTTATTTGAAACCTAAAATCTTGATTTCATTGAGCAAAAGCAAGAGATTTATTTTAATTTGTTGTGTTGAAATCCTCCATTGTATTTTATTTCATTGCAACTAAGCATTTAATAATTTTGTTGGATTTTATTAAATTCAATTTCCTTAAAAAAAGTATTAATTAATTCAAGGAAAATCTGAGAAAGAGAATAAATTGAATAATTAAAAAATATTTATATTTTGAATAAATAAATTCTATTTTCCTTTTTCACTAATTTTTATTTATTTTCAAAAAAAAAATCATTGAATACTTCTCATATATGAGAATATTAGAAAATATATTCTAAAATATTAAAACAATTCTTTGTGGCAATTATATATTTTTGAAAATTTATAAAAACTTTGCTTATTTTTGCTTGTAAGTCATGCATTTTGATTACTAATATTTTTAAAACACCAAAAATAATCAAAAAATCATATTAATCCCAAATGGCTTCATACTATGTATCTAATCTTGCAAAAATATGATATTATTTGCTCTTAATGACTTGCAATATAAAAATTATAAGAAAATATATGATAAATACTAGACAATGGAATTTTAATTAATTTACATAATTTAGGTACCCTCTTAGTTTTTTAACTTAATTACAAATTAGTACCCAATTAATGATTAATTTTAAAAAATCATCATGAATACGTTACTCTTCAATAAATTTTACAATTTCTTTGAATATAAGCCAATAAATGCAAGAATTTCTTTAATGATAAATTCTAACCCTAAACAATGAGACAGATTTGAAACTGAGAACTGTGGGTTGAGATGTTAATAATATATATTCATAAGGTATTTAAAGCACTTTAAAAAAGCAAAAATTTAATTTAATATTATTAACAATAAAATTATTAAAAGAAATTATTTTTAAATTTTTTGTGTGTCAATATTTCATTTCTTATTATTTATTTCAAAAATAAAAACGCAATTGAACGCCTAAATCATCTACCATACCTTATTAAAGTATTGTTGTGATGCTCAATATGAACATATATTTCTTGAAATATAATTACTTCTATTTAATTTTATATTATGATATTTATGTTTATTTAATTCTTTTTCATTATGTTTTAAAATAAATATTTCTATGATAAAAAGTCACTTTGCAACCAACTTTCCCTTAACAACTCACTCAAGGCTTTCATTTTGGACGACTTGTTACTGCTTCATAAAGTAAAACTTTTTAATATAAAAATTAAAATTGTTGTACTAAAAAATTATTTTAAGAAACAATAAAAAAGCTGTCCCAAACAAAGCCTAAGGTTATAAAATATTGAAATCCTCCCAAATAGATCCTAGTATAAAAAGCTGTCCCAAACAACTTTCTTGCACCTTTTTTCAGCTTTTTAAAATGAATTTCTAGTATAAAATATTCTAATTCAAGAAATTTTTGCACTAAAAAATTGTTTTAAAAAGCAACAAGAAAGCTGTCCCAAACGAAGCCTTGGTAAGTGGTAACAGCTTATGCGGGGAATATTATGTGATTTTTTTGAAGAAAATTTTGCTATTTATGATGAATCATATTGAAGCTCTGCTAGTTGGTCCCAGCCATATTTTAGTTGCTTGCAGAAATAGAACACAATAATAAAAAAATGATAAAATTTTCAAGTTTTCAATAGCTTGCTAAGTTGTAATCAGAAATCAACATGAATTTTAAGGACTACAAACCCCTCAAATATATCATTTTCACAGAAAAAAAATAAATGAAAGCAAAATTGTTGCTTTCTAAAATATATTTTTTATCTACAGGCAGTCAAATGGACCCTTAGTTGAAACAAAATGCACATGGAACTACCAGCCTTCTTGTTTCTTCCCTGCAGCAGGAACATGCACAGTAAACCTTTCATATACATTTAGATAAATGAATAAACAAAACAAGTAATCTTTATATTTGAAGTCCCCTTGGATGTATTAAACAAGAAAAAAAATGCACAAGTCACCCTCATCAATTGGGTGAAATTATTCTGTGCGGTCGCCGAACGGCGTCCGGAGACAAATGAGAATACGTCATGTCATTTTTTTGTTGTGTACCGCTCGGTACCGGGTGATGTGGCGTGTTCTGATTCGCCTCTGGACCATTCGGTGACCCCACAGAATAATTTCTCCATCAATGGAGTTGAATGAGGATTAGTTTGGTGCTAAATCCAGTATAGTAGTGGATGGGCACTTGCCAGAAAAAATGAAGGATATCTACTTCAAGCAAAAGGAGAAAGACACAACATAGGAATTACCAGGGTGGAAATCTTCAGGCAAATAATGCTTTAGAACACTTTATCTGCAATCACAAATAAAAACAATTAAGTCAGATTAGAAATTTATACAAAAAGCTGAAGTTATAAGCAGTGTTGTAAAATTGTCTGTCACTCTTACGATAATATTATTGTCCAACGTTTGGTGAAGTTTCACAACAACTAGGTACAAACACTAGGGATGTGAGCCCTTTACGAGGACAACAAGCTTTGCCTAACTTAGGTTAGTTCATAGTTATGTTCAAGTTCCATTTTTGCATTCGAGATTTGAAAAAATATTGCTTTATATATTGTCTTAAACCTAGAGAGAATTTCATCTTCCCTGCCATGAATTTCTTGCCTTAGATGATTTGGTCACATTAAATGTCGGCCTTCTGAAAGGAAACGGTCCAAAATAATGAAAAAACATAGCAAAAATCTGCAGTAAACATCAGATTTTCCCAAAAACAGTACAAAATTTGAGAGAAAACACTTGAAATTCACTCATAGAAAAAGAAAAACAACAAAAGATACACGGATCTTCAATTCGAGAGGAAGAACCAACTCTATAATTCTCTAGCCAAAGACTAGAGCCCAAGCGCCACACAAGAGATCCCAAATTCATATTCATATTCAAGATAATTCTATCCCTAGCTAAAATGAAATTACTTAAAGCAAAAATAATTTCTACGCTATGAAGCTTCTTTTTACAGCAACCTTCAAGAAAGTTATTTTTCCCACAACAACTTTACATCAACTTTTACAAAAAACTGCAACCATCCCAAATAGATCCTAAGTTTCTTTGAACATTATATCTTAAAATCTCCCAATTTTTTCATCGAAAGCAACTGCAACAACCAAATGAGAAAACTTTCAGCCCTTTATAATATATGCGATTCAAATTCAAAGATTCGTCAATATGATGAATAATAATTGATGCCAGAAAAACAGGTAGAATAGAAATTCCATTTTTTATTCTGCTCGGATAATTAGAAAGGTGGAGTGCAGGGAACCACATCATTGCATTAGATGGCATAGACATGTAAAGAACAATTTGAATTAAGCACAAGACTAGGCAGAATATATATATATATTCACTCTGTTTTTCTTTTCTTTCCACTATGACCTTTAAGGAGAAACAAGCACCTGCAAGAACAGTTTATTTTACCTTTCTGGTGCCACGTTCGACGAACTGTTTGGCGTATTTGCTGTTCATGCTTTTCCAACAGTTCATCTACTTTGCGTGATTGATAAAGTAGCGGTGCCGAGAACTCAACCCGGTCATCTGGCTTCTTATAACCCTGAGAAATTAAACATAATATATCATTATATAGAAAGTTATTCATACATAACAAAGGAAGCTGCAAGCTGCACCATACCATATTACAGTGCTTGGAAGATAATGCATCTATGTTGCAATCCGTATAAGTTGAATCATGAGACTGATTGTCTAGTTCTGGATGCCCGAGTTGCACCCATTGGTGCACCATCAAGTTCCTTTCAATCTCAGAAGCCTTTTCAATTTTAGAATATGCACAGAATCCAAGTGCATCTCCTTTTGCATGTACAATAGGATCAGGATAAATTTTTGATAGCAGAACATTTGATGAATCCAGCACTCCTGGAATATCACATTTTGAACTGGATTTACTATGAGATCTAACAGAAGCTTGGTCTTCTCTCCTATTCTTTGCTAATGTGAAGCCACTAAAAGCATCAAAAGACACGGGCGCCGAAAAGCCATTGTCAACTCCATAATGGAGAATTGCTTTTCGATCCTCATTTGCAGTATTAATTACATCTTTTTGCGGCATATCTACAAATAGTCCAGCCTCGTCATTCACGCGAGCTGAATTTTGCCTTCCTACATGTTTCTGGGTATTTTCAGCTCTGAGCCATGGCTCCTGTAAGAAAAAAGACAGAATATTATAGATTGTCTGTCTTCAAGAATGGACATACAAATGGGGAAAATTTATCTAGTTCATGGATTACTACTAAAATGTGTTTGTCGTGCACGGACTAACCTCCAAGCGCGATAATTTACTAGATACGCTTGATTTTACTGATCTGGTTGACCTTGGAGGTCTTCTAGCGATTTCCAATGGGTGTGGTGCACCAGTGAACTTTATCCTGAGATAAAAAGGTGCTATGGTTGAGATTACCAAATGAACAGGACAATCCATATATTACAATGGCAGATTCTTTTCATCCAAAACAAAAGATAGTATTGATTTTTTTTCAGACACATTAGAAGTTATATGATTCTATGGAAAATAAAAAACCAAATGTATTAGCTTAAGAAAAATGATAAAGAAAATAAGAAAAATCACAATCACATAGAAAAGAATGTCAAGTAGTCTTTGCAGATAGTTCAAATAACATCTACATTGTTAAATACTATAATCTATGAAAGCATATTATTATAAACGGACATTTGAAACTCACTTGAGTGACTCTTCACGATTTTTTGCATCAATCTCCTTATTGGGAGGATATTTAGGCAAACATGATGGGTCACATGCACGGGGCATCGTTCTGAAATACTGCACAAACAGAAATAGAAATCATCGAAGTAGGTACAAAGCGAGGATGCATAATATATTAGCAAGATGATACTGCTTGTTAGCCACATTGGCATTCAGGACATGAATGGGTTAAGATCTTGATAGATTATTTCAGGCTAAAAATATAAAAGAGCAACAACAACAACAACAACAACAACAGTGGGAGATAAGATTAGAGAGAGTCGACTTAGATGATTTGGTCGCATAAAGCGGAGGCCTTCCGATGACCCGGTTAGAAAAATAGATGTATTCAATTTGACTTATGCTAAGAAAGGTAGAGATAGAGCTAAAAAGACTTGGTTAGAAAATATTAGAAATGATCTTTCTTTATTAGATTTAAACAAGAATTTGACTTTTAACAAAACAGAAAGGAGAAAAATGATTCATGTAGCCGATCCCACGCAGGGGGACAAAGGCTTGATGTTGTGTATAAAGTATCTATATATTTATTTTATTCATTTTGTTGAATAATAAATGATAAATCTGATATTTGTTTATTGATTGGCGAATGAGGATTTATAAAGCGGATCTCAAAAAGTTAGGATAAGACTAGTGATGATCATCTAATGATATTCCTGCATAAATGGAGGCAGGTAAAATCGCTGCAGCAATGCAATAACATGATATGGCTTTTCTTAAAAAGAATAGAAAGCAAAGAATAATAAGATTATGCAAACACACATGGAAAATCTCAAGAAATATTGAATAAATTAACTATAGTCATGAACACAAAAGAAAGAAACGTGAACTAATCACCTCAGATGAAAGAGCAGATGTCGCTGTGCCACGCTTTTGAGGTTCAATAGAGAGAAAAGTTTCCAGTAATTTGTACGCACTTTCAGGTAAACATACAAATGTCTCCTGAAGGCGACTTTGATAAGCTTGCTGGGGTTTAAAAAGTGTCTCATGGGGCAACCTGGACTTCCTCCAATATTCATCTGAAGGAGAGCCGCAAAGCTTAAATATCTTGTGAATCTGCTCAACCTAAAAAAAACAAAGAATGAAAGCAGAATTCATCTGAGCATTGACATGAAAAAAATAGTCCTCATATGAATATTTAATAAAAAGAAATATCATTTTTTTATATTATCAAATGACAACAGATGCCATCAAATGCTAACTAAATAGGTCGAATTTTTAGCAAAAAAAAAAAAAAAACTGTATAATCTTTGTAAAAAGTAATTCCATGCCAATGTTTGGTCATTGGTGTTATGTGTGGAATCTGATTGTGTTGATCAATCGGATTGTCTTGTTGCCTCGGACCTCAAGTTTGTCGTACTTGTTGGGGGAGCGGGGGGTTTACCCTTGCTTGGGTTCGGGTTTGCACCGGAAAAAATTATCCCCGTACAAAGCCCGGGACTGCGTACATGAGCGCCCCAGCGCTATGTACCCGAGCATCCCGGCGATGTGTTCCCGAGCGCCCCAACGTTGAACGACAGAGAGTAGAGCGCCATAGCCGTATATATACGGCGCTGCAGCAGATCAAGACAGGTTTAAGCACCACAACACTGCAAGATAGACTGAACTGTTTTATTTCTTGTATTTCTAAAGTGTTGCATCCCTTGGGGTTATTTACTTGGCTTTCTCTTATATTTTCAGTTAGGTTAAGCATTGAGAATGGTGTATGTGAGAAGAGAAGCAAGAAGAGAGTGAAAGAGAAGAGTGATCTGTACTTATTTCTCCCAATTTTAATAGTGGATTTCTTGGTGTGGTGTGGCTCCATGGTTTTTTTCCTATTTTGAGTTTTTTGCATGTTAAATCTTAGTGTCCTTTACTTTTTCCACTGCTTATACTTTCTTGCTTGTTTCGTCATTGTGGTGTTCACTCCTCATCCCCAACAACTGGTGTAGGAGGTTATTCATATAATGTTTGTTGTAGTTATAACAATACCAGATTAATATTCTTTATTATTATTATTATTAAAAAGTTTACTGCCACAGCCAAATGGTAATCAAAACAACAGTGATGGTGGCCTACTTTGCAGAGGATAAAGAAGGTTGGATAATTATTCATTTTAGAGCACCACAATCATAGAGCAGACTTTAGAAAGCCCCTAACTCGACTATTCGAGAAACCTAAGTTGCAAAGAAAATACTTGAATACCACATGACAGAGATTTTTACCTAAAATGACCACTTTGACAAGGATATATATATATATATATATACACACACACACACATACATACATACCCCTTTTTCTTTCTTTTTTCTTTCTTTATCTTTTTCTATCTATTTCTCTCTATCTCTATCTATTTCTCTCTTCCTCTCTTCCTCTCATTTCTCAATAATAAGCATGCGGCACATGTCCTCTAACGGATAATTTTGCCTTGAGGATAGCATCATAGGTAAATGGTTATAGATGAGACATGCCTATCAACGACAAATGGCTCACCAAGATGCAAAGTTTCTTGAAGAGCCGCAATATATAACACATGGTGCTACGTGCTCCATTTTAAAAATGGCACAAAAAATTAAATAAATATATATTATTATGAAATACTAATAAATTAAAAGATAAATCATCATGATACTAGAAACAATCAAAGTGAAACTTAAGTTCAAATAAACAACAACACCTCAATCACTTAAAATAACAGTTATTTTAAATATCCAAAGTAACGACCATCAATTGAGTTGATGAATTACAGATATAATAATTTGTTGCCGGTGATGAGAATTGTCTTGGATGTGGTTGAGAAGCTTATGTTTGTAAACAGGTATGAAGTCTATTATAAATACCTCCACAATCATAAATTTTATTCAAATCGCAACAGAATGCTTGCCTTGGGAACTTGGGCATTATCTCCTCTTACAAGAGCGTAGGTGAGGTTCTTACATGTGAGTTGTCAGAGGCTTCAATCCACCTTGAAGCACAGTTGAATCATGTTCTCAAGATTATCAATGTACCTAGATCGCCTTCCTAAATGCTCGAATGTGCCGCGTGTGAGAGAAAGAGGTTATGTGATCATTGAAGCCAAGTCTAGATACCTTCCCAAGATCATCAAAGCTGAGATTTGATCACATTCCTGATATCATTGAAGCCCCATCTAGATCGCCTTCTACAGCCAAGAGCATGTGCATGCATGTCGAATAAATATCTAAGGTACTATTAGGGCACATGTTAATTAATAAATATGGTGAAATAGATGGGGATATTATTAATAGAATTCAAGTTGAATGGTTGAAGTGGGGGAATGCATCGAGCCTATTGGGTGATAGAAAATACCCCTCAAATTTTTTTAAAAAAATATTTAATAAGATGGTTGTGATTCCTGTAATGCTTTATGATGCAGAATGTTGGTCATTAAAAGTGAAGCATAAAATTAAGTTACGTGTTGTATAGATAAGGATGCTCGGGTGAATAAGTGGCTTTACACTTAGAGATGGGATACAAAAGGAGTAGGATACCATGCATAAGAATAACACCCTAAGGGATGCCCAACATGGTGATGTATAATTAATTTAATGTTCTAGGAGTACTCAAATTAAACGAATTGTTGTATCAAGTTATTCTTAGCTATAGATCAACATCATGATCTTGATTTTAAATTTCAAGCTAATAAAATAAAAAAGTCATCATATGGAGAATGAAACTTCTACATAAAGAAGGATAATATTCTATTCCTGTATATATAATCTTTCTAATTATTTTAAATTGATAAATTAATCATTTCTAATATAGATCTTTGAACCAAAATAAGCCAGTTATTTCCACTTTTCAACTTAATATAAACGATCATACGTGATGGAAACAGATCTAAGAGCAATGCTACATTACAATAACAAAATGACAACACAAAGCGGGGGCTCATTAAGATTGGTACCTCGGTCTTTCCTTGCAAGGCAGGCTTTTTAAGGAAAAGCTCTGCAAATACACAACCCACACTCCACATATCCACACTTGGTTCATATTCTGTTGCACCCAGTAGGAGTTCAGGAGGACGATACCAAAGAGTTACAACTCGGCCAGTAAGTTGTCTATTTGCGGGATTAAAGAAGTTTGATAAGCCAAAATCAGCAATTTTTAGAATGCCCTCATTGTTAACTAGAAGATTAGCAGACTTGATATCTCGATGAATAATGCCACGTGAGTGACAATGTTCAAGACCAGACAATAGTTGCTGCATGTAACACTTCACCTACAAAATATAAGGCCAAATTTGAGATTTTTTTAAAGAGGATTTAACTTGGAGCAGTATGCAACAAAGGCTTAGTTTGGGACAGCTTTCTTAATGCTTTTTAAAACTGCTTTTTAGTACAAAAATTTCAAATTTGAGAAGTTATTTACCTAGAAAACTGTTTTAGAAAGCAAGAAGAAAGCCGTCTCAAACGAAGCCAAAATGTCGATATAGGCATAGTTATATTGCATACCTAAACAAGTAGGGGAATATATACAAACCTGTGATTCACTGAATATGATATCAGGAGAAGAAGATAGGCCTGCAAGATCATGCTCCATATATTCAAATACAAGATATATACTGCATGAGGATCTGGAAGTGATCAAACCGTCCAGCTTCATAATATTTTGATGGTTAAGTCTGCGAATGATGAATATTTCTCTTGCCATAAATCTGACACTGTCTGGTTCAAAATTGTCAAATCTGATCTTTTTCAGAGCAACAAATCTTCCAGTTTCAAGTTCGCGAGCTTTAAACACACTGCTATAGGTTCCCTGACCAATCTGGCATGATAGGGGAAACTAAATCCATAACTAGGAAAATACATTGCATGGAATAAAATCATGGAGCAGAAAACCAAAAGCAGATACTAGACTAATCAAGCAGCATGGCCACAAATAGGAGAGAGAGAGAGAGAGAGAGAGAGAGAGACGGAAGAAAAAGGAGATTTAAAGTAGTAAGATTTCGGGGGCTCAAAAAACTATTTGGTAAGATTTTTTCGAAACCTTAGTTGAATCCTGCAACCAGGCGCTCCCTAACGCAGATTTTTGTGGCAATGCTATATTCCATCTCATGCTAACAATATAAAAGATCTTTGATCATACAATAAATCTAAGGGAAAAAAAAAAACAATTCTGATTTCAGAAGTCTTTAGAGATCCCTTTTCACCATTTGAATTCATCATATGCCTCTAGAATCTAAAAATTCCAAGGAATCAACCAAGCACCAAATGAAAGATAAAATCCATTTACCTTCTCCAACTTCTCAAAGGATTCAGCTTTAAGCGGAAGCCATCCCTGAATTGCCTCCCTCGCAACAGAACTCAACCAAGAAGGCCAACCTGCCGCCACCAGCTCGCCCTCAACGTGTTTGTTGAAATTTCCCAACTTGAAATTCTGTGAATCAGTGCCATTCGAGCTAACCTGCCCTGACTCCCCTGATTCGCTCCGGTCAACCTCAATCCTATTCCACAATGCCGAATTCAAAATCCCTACCGAACCCTCGAGATTGCCAGAGGCATTATAGGACTCGGCCGGCGTCAAAGGTTCCGCCTTTTTCGAAGCCACGCAGCCCATTATAACCAAATAACAATTGCATTCGCTGGATATGTGAACTTCCTGCAAATCCCCGGTGGAGGGACTCGCCGGAGAGGATGAAAGAGTTAAGTGGATGCGGCGGCGAAAGGAATTGAGGCGGAGGAGGGCCTTGGCAGCGGTGAAGAGAGATAAAGATGGAGGATGAGAAGGTTGGACATGAAGCCAAGAATAGAAAGATTTCACCTTTCATTCGTTTTCCTCTTTCGCTTTCTTTCTCTCTCCTCCGGCTCTCTCGCCTGGACCTTTTTCTTCTTTTACCATTTTTTTTCCGTCGCCACTGAGTGGGCCGGAGATAGCTATCAAACAAAAAAAAATCGTTTCGATATCTCGGATAATTCTGATTTTTATATGATTTTTTATTTGGTTGTGTGAAATATGTAAATAAATAAATAATTTTTAATTATATTTATCGTAGTATAAATATAATAATTTCAAAATTCATTATCACCATATTTTAATCAAATTATTCTCATCCAAAATTTGACCTAAATTTAATCTCTCAAATTATTTTCTAAATTTTTATTTAAATTATAAGAACATTAAGTAAATATATTCATCTTGCATTACATCATTAAGTTTTTTTAATTTATTATTATTATTGTTGCGTCTAGGAGTATTCACGGCGGTAGAGAAGTATTTAACGTCTTAGCATTGTACGAAAATCCGGCATGCAATCAGATAAGGAGAGAGGGTCTAGCATTTATGAGACACCAATATTTTTACGTGGAAAACCCCTGTAAAAGGGGGAAAAACCACGGGGCCTAACCCAATTTGAATGAATCCACTAGTATTTGCAGTCGATTACAAATGAGGCCCTTCCTTGGGAGAAGGCCTTAGCTTGATGTACATCTTATGCAGTACATTACATGATGTAAATACAAAGAGCTACTATCGACATATTCGCTTTGTTAGAAGGACTGCAGTCGGCGGGCGACGTAGGTTAGAAGGACCGTAGTCAGCTGGCGACGGAGGACTGTAGTCGGCGGGCGACGTAAGTCAGGAGGACCGTAGTCGGCGGGCGACGGAGGTCGGAAAGACTGTAGTCGGCGGGCGACGTAAGTCAGGAGGACCGTAGTCGGCTAGCGACGGAGGTCGGAAGGACTGTAGTCTGACGACGAAGATCAGTAGGACAGCGTTATGTAGAAGTCCAGCAATGGAAACAAATGCATCTTCGCATAGAAGTCCAACGAAGTCCGATAACCGGTAGAAGTCCGGCGTCGGGTAGAAACTTGGCGAAGAGTGAAGGTCCGACGTCGGGTAGAAGTCTGACGTCTTTGGTGGCAGAGGAGAACTCCGGCTTCACTTGGGCGGAGTTTCGGCGTCATGAGGGAATTCTCTTGTAAATTGGGAAGAATTTCAGCATCCCATGGAAGTTGGGCAGAATTC